ACAGCTGTCATTTAGCTACCAATTAATAATTTTTTGCGACGTAAATTTGTTAAGAGTATTTCACTAAGCTATGAGTATTCCATAAGTTCCATACATTGATACAAGGTGACAGCTGTCATTTAGCGACCAATTAATAATTCTACGCGACGTATATTTGTTAAGATTGTTTCACAAGTTCCACGCATTGACACAAGATGACAGCTGTCATTTAGCGACAAATTAATATTTTTTTCCGACATATATTGTAGTTGTACTGCGATCTAATTGCTAAGAGTATTTCACCAGTTGCTCACTTTGACACAAAATGACAGCTGTCATTTAGCGACCAATGAATAAAATTACGTGACTCAATGGGTTAAGAAACTCTGGTTTATATGTAATTAAATTATGTAAATATAATTGAAATGTATACATTTAATGATGCTTAAGACTAAAGTATTTGGATAGGAATTGAAGGGAATGAGCAAATAGGTAAAGCAGACGTGTTAGATGCGAGTAAACTACAAAGTAAGCACAGTTACGACAAAGGTAAATTATGCAATGATACACACAATACAATGCAAGGGAAGGTGTAGCGAAAATAGAGATAATGATATGTTGTTTACAGCAGAAACAGAAACTAATTTTACTTTAATAATTACAAAGTTTTTGAAAAAAAGATATAAAATGAGTAATTTTATTAAAATTGAATGATTAATGGAAAACTTACAAATTAATTCGAAAACTTCTTTTATAAAATTATTTCTATTAATAAAATCAAGCATATTCGTTTGAGATTTCAGTGATATTCCGAAATTACAGTACTAAAAAAGTTTGAAAAATTCAAATAATATTGTGAATTTTATTATATTTTGTTGATTTCTTTTTCTTTATAAAAAAGTAATTTGTATAAAGTTTTAATTTATATAAATTTTAAAAGCAAATCATCATCATCAATCAAAATCTGTGAATTATATCAAAAAGTTTCAATATAAAATTATGATTAATGACTATATAAACTTTAAACATTAATTTCAAAAACATACTCGAATATTAAATAATAATTTGTAATAATTAACATCAATCAAAATCTAAAGAAAGATTTAAAATGAACAAATATATTCTAATTTAAAGTTATAAATTTTTATTAATTTAAATAATATTTTTTCATTAATTAAATTTAATATACAGTTATGATACATAAATCAAAAGATGAGAGTTTCATTAATAAATTGTCATGTAAACAACTTCTAACATTAAATAGTAATTTATAATAATTAACATCAATTATGTTGTAAAAGGAGTTTCATGAAGTAAAAACAAATATTTTGCAATTATTTTTTTACTTTATTTTAATCATAACAACTGCAATTTTCTTAAAGAAAACAAAATCAAGATACATGTGTTTGGAGTATTAAAAATAATTATAACACCATGGTTACCATATATATAATAGGACTTTAGTGGTAAGACTAAGTAATAAAACGTATAATTTTAAAGAAAAAAACAATTGCAATTAAGTAGAGTGACAAGTTGAGTAAGTATAAGTGGATTTGTGGTGCGTTTAATGTAAAATATGGGGTACACGTTCGTTAATCAGCAGCATCATTCAGAGAATCATAAGAAGTGTGGAGTTTTGTTATGCTTCACGTGGGAAACGAGCATAGTTTATTTGTCAGGCAATTAAAAACCTGGCGATTTCCACGAAAAGTGCACACAGTTTGTCACTTGATTTTCAGCTGTTTTTCTTTCCAACTCAAGTCAAGTCATCTTATTCTTCTGCCTCTTGTGGTGTAACGGTCTTTCTTCGTCCGTGTTTTATGTAAGTGCATCCAATCCATCCGTCTAATGCGATCGCTACGGGCGGATGGGATCTGGTGCGACTGAAACCGAGGTCCTGTCCTGTGAGAAAGTGCCTTCAGCGGACGTCGCCGGCACGCATCGACACGGTGAAGAAGTCCGAGAAGAAGTCGAATAATAATAAACATAATAATATAAGAACTGGAAGAAACCGGACGACGATCTCACTTGCATATATATATTTATGAACTTCTTCACAACGACAACTGTTGAATCTTCGGATTCATTTTATTGATCTTCAACATACCATGATTATAATACATTAGAAGTATCATCTTCTTAATAAAATTTAATTAGATTCATATTAAGGTGCGTACACACTATATACATAAATGACAACTTGTAAGTAACGTTTAATAATTTACAAATCAACTGTTACTTGTCATATTTCTTAAATGTTAGGATTATGGTTGTCGGGATTTTGATACTGTCGAGATTTCGAATGTTGGGATTTCCATGTAGACCCCATTAATACAAGTAGTTGGTAATGATTTGTCTATAACAAGGTAGACTTTTGACAAAAAAAATATTTTAGAAAAATACAATTGGCATTAAAACTTAATTTTAAGCAACAATGATTGATTGCTTTTTAAGATTTTCTGAGAACGACCAGACTTCATTTCTTTCTAATTGTTTACAACTGTTCAGTCACCAGGTGACAGCTGTCACTTCGTGACTCATTAAAAAAATTACTCATAGGTTGAAAAACTTTGTTAAATTATGCAACTAAAGTAATTGGCAATGATTTGCCCATTCGAATTGAAATATTTCTAGTATTTTCACAATAAAAAAATATTTTAGAAGAATTCAATGGTTAATCTGTTCTTAGTGTTGAAACTTATTTTTAAGGCTTCAATGATTGATTGATCTTTAGTCCCACGCTGTTTTAAGCTTTCGTGAGAACAACCAGACTTGATTTGTTTCTCACTATTTACAACTGTTCAAATGTAATATTAATTGATATAGTTAATAGTGATAGGTTTTAAACTTGAATAGATGAAGTACACGTTGGAAGCAATGTGTCAAAACATTGACAACCAATTATTAGTTATAATTTCCAATCTTATTGAGTTAGATTTGTATATACTTATGTAAAGTTTAAAAAGTAATGTTTTGTTTATTAGAACAAAATTTTATTTCGTTTTAATAATAATAATATTTATTGCAACTTATCAAAATAACATAAGAAAAATCAAACTAAATTGAATTGCTGCAAAGGGCTACTGCTTTCTGCCCTCGTTTTAATATTAGCTATAAATCAGTTTTAAATGATATTTCAAAACTAAAGAAGAAAGATCATACATGTAGAAAAACCATAAATATGAACATGCTCATCAATTCAGTCACTACTTTACATTTTAATTGAAACTGAAAATACTATCTCTTCAGTTGGTTTGATCTGATGAGCGTTTCATAAACATTTTATTACTTCAATCATCCAAAGGACTCATAAAACTTAATTGCTAATATCATCTCAAGTGAAATACTTGGGTGTGCATTTTGACTGAAGATTAGCCCAAGAATGATTACTTCACAAGTAAAAAGAGATTAACTAATATAAAAAGTATAGGAAAATCATTTTTCAATATTTAGAATATAATGGAATGTTGAGAATGTTGATTTAGCTAAATTTGAAAATATTAACAAAAATCTTTACTTTGTACTAAGTTGAAAATCGAAATTATAAGTAAATATAAATTAATATGTAAAAATGTTTTATCAAGAAGAGATTATATAAAGCATAATTGAGTATAATCACTTGTACAAATTTTGACTAGCTTGAAAATAGATTAGTTACAAAACGATTTCAGTTCAAAAAAGAGTATAGGAATCTGGATTATATAGAATTTCTAGTCATTTTTTGGTTGTTTATACTTTTAGATTGGATTGGTTTCTGGATACAGGGTCGGTCTTGGAAAATAGTCATTAGTTCCACAAAATATTTTGATTTGTAAGGAAATTTTAAAGTACAGTGTTTCTTGAGATTTGATAAACTGAATGTTTCAATGATTTGAAGGGATGATGGTTGATTTATGGTTTTGCGGAGGTACTCTTTGTACTTATGGTATCAGTTTTGGCACCAAATGGATGTAATACGTATATCGGGTTCATCTCTGGGCGATTAGTTGAAAGAAGGAATGGATGGCGCGCGCGTAGGTTTCGCGGTCTCGGGTCGGCGGACATTTGAAAGTCAATTACTGGCTGTCGCCCTGGGCTGTCGAAAGGGCGAGTAGGTCGGTCCGGGCCTGAGGGTGTCGCCTCTCCGGCGCCGGTCCAAGAAGTCCCGACCCGATCCGACCGGTTGTACTCTTCTCCTCCACTGTCCTTCCTATACCAATACCACCAATGCTATACCATATCCATAACATACAATACCAAGGCTTGCTTGCAAAGACACGGTATGCTATGGTAGTATCACTGCTGCGGGTCGAATCCCCCACCGCTGTTCTGTTACCTACCCGCTGGTCCTGCACGTGCAGACCGAATGATAGCATCTCGCACATTCAAATATTCACCAATTTCACAAACCATTCCGCTCCACACGCACCCATTGCCCACAAACACTCACCGATTAATTGGTCACGAGCTCACTTAATTTTCGACCGGTTCGATGCTTTCTCCGTGTTTACAGATCAAAAGATACTTCGATTTTTTGATCCTGCAATAAAGCTACCAAATATCAAAAGATAAATATGAACAACCAATTTTTTAATTTTTTAATCAATACTTTTCACAAACATCTGTCAACCAATTTACAAATGTCAATACAATGACAGCTGTCATCATTAAGGAATTGACAGCTGTCAAAAAGTTATGCAACGCAATTATTTATTATTTGTATCGACACTAAACCAATCCTTATTTATGAATGAAAAATAGTGTACTTTTATAAATCATATAAATTATGTTCTGAAATCAAAGCTTTTTTAAATTTTGCATTTATAATTGATATTTTCTGCGTTTATGTTTTAATTCACTTATAAAAATGTATGATTATATTTAATCAAATCTACCTCTAAATTCAATTTTAAAAGTGATGAATTCATGTAAACAACTTTTCAATCATATCAATTTCAAATCATATTTATATTTCCTGTGCATCGAAAAACATCGTCGTTCCTTTGATTATAATAATAATAATATAATAATAAAAAATAAAGTATTGGTTTTAGTATCGACAAGAGATGAAAGAATTCAGTAAACTCAGGAATGACAACTGGAGGAAACTGTGGATCAATACAATGTATGAACAAATTTGATTTAATATATTAATAAAAAAGAAACCTAAAAATACCAAAACACATGTTTATACATTTACTTTTTAAAATAATTAATATTACCACAATATTTTTTTAAATATAAGTAAATTTTCAGTTAGTAGGAAAAACTTTTATCAACTATTTCTCAGATTTAAAAAAAAATATCAAAATTTTTAAATATTTCTTTTCAAAATTACCAAAAATTGGAATATATGAATCCCTATAATTTTGAAAAGTCAAACAAAATCTTAATATAACCACAATATATTTTAAAATATAAGAAAATTTTCAGTTAGTAGGAAAAACTTTTATCAACTATTTCTCAGATTTAAAACAAAAATATCAATTTCAATTTTAATTATAAATTATGTAAATTCTTATACTCTTTCAGACATTTTTTTTAATAAAAAATGAAAATTTTTAAATATTTCTTTTCAAAATTACCAAAAATTGGAAAATATGAATCCCTATAATTTTGAAAAGTGAAGAGTCAAACAAAATCTTAATATAACCACAATATGTTTTAAAATATAAGAAAATTTTCAGTTAGTAGGAAAAACTTTTATTAACTATTTCTCAGATTTAAAAAAAAATATCATTTTCAATTATAAATTATGTAAATTCTTATACTCTTTCAGACTTTTTTTTATTAATTCAACATGAAAAATGAAAATTTTTAAATATTTCTTTTCAAAATTACCAAAAATTGGAAAATATGAATAATAATTTTGAAAAGTGAAAAGTCAAACAAAATCTTACTTTTTTTTAAATTATTCCTATTTCAAGTAGTATTGACTTTTAAATTTAAGTTGAGGTCTAAATATAAGTTGACTTTTAAATGTAATTTGACTTTTATATGTATGTTGACGTTTGAATATAAATTGACGTTGACGTTTTGAATTGAAACATTCAGAAAATTTTAAATATTTCTTTTCAAAATTACCAAAAATTGTAAAACATGAAAAACATTTTTGTATAATTTTGAATAGAGAAAAGTCAAACAAAAACATATTTTTATTAAGTTGATGTTTTAATATAAATTGACGTTTAAATGTAAGTTGACGTTTAAATATAAATTGACGTTTCAATAAATATTGACGTTTAAATGTAAGTTGACTTTTAAATGTAAGTTGACGTTTATATGTATGTTGACGTTTTAATATAAATTGACGTTTAAATATAAGTTGACGTTCTATTATATATTGACGTTTAAATGTAAGTTGACGTTTATATGTAAGTTGACGTTTTAATATAAACTGACGTTTAAATATAAGTTGACGTTCTAATATATATTGACGTTTAAAGTTGATGTTTTAAATTGAAACATTCAGAAAAGCTGAGATTCCACACTTAAAAACCTGACTCATCAGTCAAATGAAAAACTAAATAATAATCTTGAACATGTTCAAGGAAATAATAATCTATCAATATTACTTACGACATTATAAATTTGACGCGTCGAACGCGATCGGCATTATGAAGATCGATGCAGTCGAAAAGCGTTTAAGGAATTCCTCACGTGCATTACATAATCTATTCGGATACGAAACCGAAGGTCGACAATTATCTCTCGCATCCTTTTCGAATCCTTTCAACATTTAATAGTCTCTCATTTCCAACAGCAAAATGTATACACATGGACAAATAGTTACAAATCACGAACATCAAATTGGGTGACAATTGCCGCGATTATTGCGATGAATTATTGAGGCACTTTCTAATACTAATAAAGTTGTAATAACGTTATTTATCTGTGCGCAAATTGGAACATTCACCTACCTCACCTTTCATTAACTTGTCCGAACAACAATTGACCGTCTTAATTAAGTGCATAGTTAAAGTAAAGTGTAAGCAAACAAATGAATTCAAGTGTTCAATTACTTCTTGTCTAATGAATCATAAATTAATATAGTTATTATACTTTTGCTAAATTAAGTTATATAGTCATTACTTGATACTTGCCAAGTGATGCAATAATCAGAAGTTTTAATTAATTGTACAGTATAAAGTAAAGTGTAAGCAAATAAATGAATTGAAATAAGCAAATACTTTTTACTTAATTAATCATCAGATAATGAAGTTTATGAATAAGTTATATACTCATTACTGGAAACTTGCCAATTAACTCAACAATTATAATTTTTAATTAAGTGCATTGTTAAAGTAAAATATAAGTAAACAAATGAATACACATGTTTTATTACTTCTTGCGTAATGAATCGTAAAGTAACATAGTTATTATACTGTACTGTACTGTACTAAATTAAGTCATATACTCATTACTTTATACTTGTCAAGTGATGCAATAATTAGAAATTTTAATTAATTGTATAGTTAAAGTAAAGTGTAAGCAAATAAATGAACAAACTACATAAGCAATTAGTTCTTGCTTAATTAATCATCAAGTAACGAAGTTTATGAGTAATGTAGTTAATATGCATTAGTTAATTAAGATAATGACTCATTACTTGAAACTTACCAATTAACTCAACAATTAGAAATTTTAATTCAGTGCATTTTGAAAGTAAAATGTAAGTAAACAAATGAATGCACGTATTCAATTCCTTCTTGCCTAATGAATCATAAAGTAATTTAGTTATTATACTTTTGCTAAATTAAGTTATATAGTCATTACTTGATACTTGCCAAGTGATGCAATAATTAGACGTTTTAATTAATTGTACAGTTAAAGTAAACTGTAAGCAAATAAATGAATAGACATAAGCAATTACTTCTTGCTTAATTCATAATTAGATAATGAAATTTATTAGTAATGTAGTTAATATGCGTTAGTTAATTAAGTTAATTACTCAATACTTCGCACTTAATTCTACAATTAGAAATTTTAATTAATTGCATAATTAAAGTAAATAAGCAAACAAATGAATAGGGCGGATATATCCGCCGCCTGTCCGCATAGGCTTGACATTACGAACGATTTTGTTCTTTATAAATAACATTTATATACAATTGATCATGATTGATATTATGAAATAAATCGTGAATCTAATGAGAAAGATTATTTTTTAATTTGTCCGTTTGATTGGTTCCTTGGCATTATCATCATCAAAGGGTTTACCAACATTCTCTGATCCGCCACTGGATGAGGTTTAATTAATTGAAGATTTAATATTTGCTCATTCAGTGTAAATGCCCGTTCAATGCAATTAGCTTTTGATGTGATTAAGCGTTCCGAGCAAGTGGTCAGTCAGGGTGCAATCGCTTTCCATTAAAATATATACAAACATGCAAAAAAACACGAAACAAAATGAAAACCAAATAATATAATGAGAATTCAAGAGAGGAAATAACGAATATCGATCGACTAATTTTATTTAGGTAGAGATTGTATGAAAGAAACTTGATACAAGTTGTATTCATTTATTGTAGACTACAAATTGTAATTTGGAGATCTTGTTTCGAATTCGTAAAAGGTAAATTCTGTACGTTTGTATGTATGTAGTGTACAGATGTAGTGCATATGTATAGGTGGAGCTGTCTTAGAGATGGACGATAAGTCTTTTGATGATTTATAAAAATGCCATAGCACACCTGAACGCTGCAAGGTATGGCCGGAGGGAACGCACGGGACTCAAGGTTGAAATACTGGATTTTCTATATGGGCACAGCGCCCTGCCCGGGGGCAACATCATGCTCATTCTCGAAAAGGAAAGAACAGAGAAAAAAAGTCTGTATATATATATATATATATGAGAAGAACGGAAAATAAAACCACGAGTATATTCATTGCCTTGGGTAAGAAACAACAAAAAAAGAGAAGAAAAGGATATACAATAAATAAATGAGAGAACAAGTAATAATGAATATTGCAAAAGTTAATAACAATTATCGAATGCTTAATAAAAGAGAAACAATAGGAAAAAGAGATTGAGACTGAGACACACACAGCGTTAAACGTTTTCGCTTTGGATCATTTTTTGTGTAGTTATTAGAATTGTGAATTTGAAAAGGGGGAGCGCGTAGGTATTTGGTGCAATCGCATTCCTTCGCTCTTAGGAAGTCCACCTTGTCTCACATAGCTCCGATGCTAATTTCGAATTACCTCTGCAAATTAACCTGTATCCAATTCATGTGTATACATTGCATTGCGCATTGTATCCAAAATACAATTACTGTAATTTAAACATAAGCATAATTTTACTCTGAAATTAACCAAAACCACAACATTTATAGTAAATAATTTATACATTGTTTAAAGAATATTTCAGTAGGTTATTTATTTAACTATTTTTATTGACTCATTTAAGACCAAAGGGTTATCAATTGATAAATGAAATATAGAGTATAAATGTGTTGAAACAATAGTTCTTTATTTGCCATTTCCTTCGACTTGCTTACGGTAAATACTCTATTTTATGAATGCTGCAGCTGATTGTTCCAAATTCCTTCAGTTCTGTCCTTATGTTCTCAGTATTACACAAGAAATGCATATTTAGAAGGACTATCCTAAATAAGCGATCTTCCTTTAGTTGATGCGAGTGTCATGGGATATTTCCTTCTATAATATTCATCTACTGCAGCGGTTTCCAACCTGGGAGGCGCCAAAAATTTTTAATAAATTAATTTTTATACCATAATATCTTCAAATAAATAAAACGTGTCTATATTATTTAATCTATTAAAACAATAAAAGGTAAGGGAGGCGCGGAAAAAAAAATTCGGGGAGACGTAGTACCATAAAGGTTGGAAACCGCTGATCTACTGTGATAGGATGCACTTTGACCTGCTTGTTATCAACTATCCTCAATGTATATGAATTTTTACCCACTAAATTTGAGGTAACTTATTCATATCATCGACATGAAGAACGGTGGACGGATTTTCCGAATTCGATGTTGTGCTGGCCAAAACTGCGTATGTGTTATTTACAAGAACTTGTATTGAAGTACATTTTTTTTTGTAATTTTGATTTTGTGGCTGTGGTTGAACTTGTTGTTGATTGATTTTATCCTCATTGTCATGT